TGTTAGAAATTGAAAATTTCGCAAAAAAAACGGTTTCCATAAATAAATTTAAAAAATAAATTAATTTTTCGGATAAAAAAGAAGTTGCAACAACCGAGAATCGAACCCGCTACCTCGGGCTCGTGAAGCAAGCACGCTACCGCCTGAGCCGCCGGACCACTTGAAGAGCGGGATAACTTTTCCGTATGTAAGGTGCTCGAAAACTTTGAACCCTTTTTTCTCGAAACTGGCTGAATATGGCGCCCTAATATTTAAGTATATTAACACCCTAAGGGTAAACTACCACTACACGAAGCCTCGTTCCGAACTTCATTTCCCAGAGCGTAGTCTCCCCTTGTTAGCTTGTCGGTGAGCAAGTTCGCGTGTTGTCCTGGAAGCCGGCGGGCCCTGGTAGGCTGCTCGAGGCCGTTGTCCAGCGAGGTTGAGACAAAGATCCGTGGATAAGAGCTTCTGCGACCGGTTCCTTGATTTTGCGGATTCCCTTAGGTTCAATTATCTCGTGCGTGATGAGTGCCAAGGCTCTTTGTGTCACTGACTCGAGTTCTCTTAAGTGAGAGAGAGAGAGAGAGAGATTCGGTACCGAGCACTTCCGACGCATCGGAAGATCAAGAGACTACTGGCCACGCTGACACGATTGCGTCAGCGGCCGCGCGACGAAACTTGTCGCAGAGAGAGAGAGACAGAGAGCGGAGAGAAAGAGAAAGAGTGACACCGCTTGGTTATAGGCCGAGGCCCCGTGCGGCTAGAGTTGTAGGCCGCCCGCTCTTTTCAAATTGAACTCTGAGTATTTCCACTCACTCAGAGCGGAACGTTCGTACGTGTTTTCTGAACATTTTCCGCCCGCCTTCGTTAATGTAAATTAACGAACGAGTTAAACTGTTTGAGTGGAAATTGGCAAGGGACAGATTTTAGCGACAGGACGTTTGAGGAGAGAGGTCTGGGTTTTGATTGTAACGACTCGTGTGAGTCCATCCTGTCCTGGGTGAGTTTCTACGATTCGTCCCAATGGCCACTTGGATGGAGGGTAACGTTCATCGACGACCAGCACGAGAGCGCCTTCTGGATTGACGGGTTGGCTCGGTTCCACTTGTAAACGGCTAGGTATCGTTGCAGGCATTCACTTGACCAACGTTTCCAAAAGCTTTCCAGCATCTGCCGGTTGAGTTGCCACCGAGACAGATGAGATTGCCTTTCAAACTCGAGTGATGGTTCTGGTATAGTAGCGGGAGCGCAGCCCATCAGAAAGTGCCCTGGTGTCAGGGCGTTGATGTCTTCCGGATCGTCAGAAAGAGGGCTGAGAGGTCGAGAATTGAGCACGGCTTCAACTTGAGACAAGAGTGTCGACATTTCTTCGTAAGTGAGATGGTGGTCTCCGATCGCACGCTTCAGATGGAATTTGACTGATTTGACGCCCGCTTCCCATTTCCCTCCAAAATGAGGTGCGGCTGGTGGGTTGAACAACCACTGAGTTCCGTCGTTTGCCAAAAGATTTGCTAATGCTCCGCATTCAGTTGTTGCAGAGGAAAAGAGTCTGTTGAGCTCGGCGTCGGCTCCCTTCAGATTAGTGCCGCAATCACTACGCAAAGTAGCGCAAATTCCCCGTCGTGACGTGAATCTTTTATAGGCTGCGATGAATCCGTCAGCTGTGTAATCAGTGACCAGTTCCAAATGCACTGCGGAGGTGACCTGACAAACGAATAAGGAAATGTATGCCTTGTATGATTTAGCATTTTTCCCTTTCCATGTCTTGATGATAAGAGGCCCGGCGTAATCAATGCCACTGTGCAAGAAGGGGCGAGATGGAGTCGCGCGTTCGATGGGAAGCTGACCCATCAGTTGTTGAGCCCTTTGTTGACGATATCGGGCACATTTCACGCAGTTTAAAATGTGAGACCGGACTGGGGCTCGTCCTCCAACGATCCAATAGTTATTTCGTAAAAATGTCAAAGTCACCTGTGTGCCTCCGTGCATTGTTCGAATGTGCGCATCAGAGATGATAAGAGACGTTAGCGCTGATCTTCGGGGAAGAATGAGTGGATGCTTTGCTTCTGGCGACAGCAGAGATGAGTTAAGGCGCCCGCCGACACGGAGAAGACCTTTTGAGTCGACGATCGGAGTGAGGCGTACGAGTGAGCTTGAGCGCGGAAGTACTTCACCCTTCTTCAAAATGGTGAGCTCATGATTGAAATGAGTCCTTTGAATTGTCTGGACCCAGAACTCCATTGCGGCCTTTAGTTCGTGCGTGGTTAGCGGGCCAGATGGAGGAGTCAAGGCACGTCGGAAGCGGGTAACGCCTCTTCGGCACCAGGCAGTGATTCGAGTCAGTCGATTTAGATCGGAGTATCGTTGCAGCAAGTCCCATGGCTCAGTTAATTTGCGAGGGGCTATGACCGCAACGTGAGTAGGTCGCTCTTCTAACATCGTTTCTTGAATCCATAATTGAGGTGGGTGAGGCCAGGAGGAGGTATCTTGCAGGAGCCACGATGGTCCGGTCCACCAGATAGAGTGATTGGCGAGTTGATTTGGAGACAGTCCGCGAGTGCCACAGTCCGCCGGGTTGTCCGTTCCCGGCACAAATTTCCATATTGCATGCGGCAGTGTTTCTTGGATAAACCGCACTCGATTATGGACGTAGTCCTTCCAACGAGAAGGGTGATTGTTGATCCAGGTGTAAGTGATTGCAGAATCGGTCCAGAGATAGATCGCTTGAGTATTTAGAGTCCAGACTGCAAGTACGCGATTTACAAGCTTAGCCAAAAGCACAGCACCAGACAGTTCCAGGCGCGGTATCGTTAGTCGTTTAAGTGGGGCGACCTCGGTTTTAGAAACCACTAAATGAGACGTGATGTCTCCATTGCTGGAGAACACGCGGATATAAACTGCTGCGCAAATAGTGAGCTTGGACGCGTCACAAAACCCGTGAACCTCCACGGCATGATTATCTGCAATGCCTATCCAACGAGGGAAGGATAGGCAAGGCATATCTTGAAGCTCTTCCACGAATTCACGCCACTTTACGGCGGCATGAGAGGGTAACGGTTCGTCCCAGCCGATCTTGATGGACCATAATTCTTGCATGATGATTTTAGCCTTGATGATGACAGGCGACACCAATCCCAGAGGGTCAAACAATTTTGCGATGGAGGATAACACTCGTCGTTTTGTAATCTCGGCAGTAGATGTAGATGCTAAGGTGAAATGGAACGTGTCGGTAGAAGCGTTCCAGCACAATCCAAGTATATTTGTAATGGGGGTGTCATTGATTTGACAAGATGTCGAATGAGCTTGTTTTTCCGGTGCTATTGCGCGGAGGACATCTGGATGATTGCTCACCCACTTTTGTAGCGGAAAACCGCCCGCCATGCAGAGTTGATGTGTCTGCTTTGCAAGTTCTTGAACGGCCGAAATCGAGTCACCTCCTCCGAATAGGTCGTCAACGTAGCGTCCCTTTTGTAAGATAGGAACGGCAAGAGGATAATTGGCACCTTCATCCATGATTAATTGTTCCAGTACGCGAAGAGCGAGGAATGGGGCACAAGCCAATCCATAAGTCACAGTGGTTAGCTGAAAGGTGGTGATCCGGTTGGTTTTCGCGAACCAGAGTATGCGTTGAAAGTCCCAGTCAGAATCGTGTACATTAATCTGACGAAACATCTTCTCCATGTCAGATGAAAAGACATATCGGAAGAGGCGGAACCACAGCAGAACGTTGAGTAGATCGACTTGTAATTTAGCTCCAGTGTGTAAGAGATCGTTCAATGAATGACCTGATGACGTCCGGCTTGATCCGTTGAAGACGACCCTTAATCTTGTTGTAGAACTACTTTCCCGTATAACTCCATGATGTGGGAGATAATATGTGAGTGATGGCTCAGGTTGACTCTCCGGAACGCGAGTCATATGTTGTAATTGTTCGTAGTCGAACATAAAATCCGAGTAGAGTTTGGAGTAATCGGAATCGTCTTCCAATTTCCTGTGAAGACGATGGATTATCCGAATAGCCTTTGATTTCGAATCGCCAAGGCGATCTGGTGGATGTTTGAATGGTAGGCGAACAGTATACCGCCCTTGCTTATCCCGAGTATGTGTTGAGACAAAATGTTGTTCGCATTCTGATTCTTCGGGAGTGAGAGACGACGTGACTGTCGAGGGGATTTCCTCGATGTTCCAGAACCGCTGAAGCAGTTCATGAAGTTGATGATCGAGCGAGACATGGAACCCGTGAATATCTTGAGAGAGAGAGAAGCTAGTCCTGACGGACCCAAGATGATCCATCCGAGTGATGTTCTTTGCGCAATTGGCGCATCCGCGTCTCCCTTCACTACTCCGTCTTCCAAAATTTGGGCGTAAACATCCGCGCCCAAGATAAGGTCGATATGCTCTGGTGAGGTAAAGTCCTTGTCAGCTAGAAGTAGATCTTGCAGATGAGGCCATGTTACGGTTTCGGTTTGCATGGACGGCAGAGATCCCGTCAGCCTTGGTAGAATGTGTGCGGAAACAAAGTATTCCGATTTCGATGGAAAATGTGGCTTGATCTTGAACGACACCTGTCCTTTGGTTTTGTTTGATCGTTGAGCGCCCACGCCGACCAGAGAAATTGATGATTTAACTTATTTTTGAGGTTGCAAATGCTTTGAGCAAGCGCATTCTGGTAACGAGGAACTCGCTCAATTGAACCCACGTCGGAGGTTCCTTGGAGAGTCCTAGCGTATGCTCCCATGCCTTTAATGACTTTGCGTCGAGACGTTGGACCGCAGTAAAGATGAGAAAGTCATCCCACTTTTGCCCTGGTCGATTTAGAGTATCTAAAGTGCGGTAAATCTGCATGACGTTCGTATTGAGTTGTTCCAATTCCGAAGCTGATTCCTTAGTCATGCGCTTGAGAGAGAGTAATGTTTGGAGGGCTGCATCCACTAAGCGTTTATTCTCATAGACTGCTATTAAGGAGTCCCATGCCCTTTGGAAATTGTCAGCTATTAGTGTGGTATTCTTGAGAAGAAGTGAGGCAGATCCAGTCAAGCTGGTCTTCAAATACTGAAGCTTCTCAACCAATGTCAAGGTAGGATGGTCCACAATCAGAGAGATGAATAAGTCCTTGAATGACAGCCAATCCGCCGGAGACCCATTGAATGTTGGCAGGTCGATTGGAGTCAGTAGAGCATGATAGAGAAGAGAAGGAGCTGCGTAATTCTGAGAAGTACTAGGCGTTGAAAGTAGCCGATGCGAGGTTTCCGTATCCTCTTCAAGCAGCAGACTCATTTGTCTGACAGCTACGAGATAGGCTTCAAGAGTTGTTGAGAAGAGACCTTCCGAGAAGTATGAGTGATGCAGAGCTGACGTTGCTTCTTCCGAATTAAGTCTTGTTATTGTTAAACCGAGGGTACGGTGTCCTAGAGAAAATTGCAACCACGGCTCTCTCAGAGATGCAAGACGCGCTTTTACCCGTGGAGGATTAAGATTAGAATATCCAACTTTAATCAGTCGGTCAACCGCAGTGTCAATTAATTCTTTGAGAACGAGCTGATGCTCGATTCGATCTTTGACGTGACTCAGTCTCATCCTCAGGCCGCTCATGAGAATCCGGCTCGAAGGACCAAAATGTTTAGTAAATAGACAGCTCAGTGAGGGGGACGTTGTAGTCCGCTTTAATATAGAGCGGCGAGAGAACGGACTAGAAATCACACAATGCTTGTAGTAAACAATGGTTTAATTTGAGACACAATTAAGTAGAGAAATCTTCAATCGTAGCTGCAATCGCAGTCGTATCGGGTTATGATATCGAAGGACCGAGTAATCTGTACTTGACAGGACAACCGTTGACGACAATCGGCTGCTTAATGATTCGCCTAAATAAAGTAACTAGAAATGCTCGAGATCAACCGGTTGACCGAGCATGTACATAATATTGTAAAACAATTGGTCATCGAATTCACATGGATTCGATGGAGAGAACGCAATGTTAGCGCGCTCTTAAATGATCCAGTAAATGTCAGAGAATATCCGTTAGTGGATTTGACAAACAATGGATAATATACGAAACATATTAGAAAAAGTTGCACAGTGTACGCCCAAAGTGAATAAAGATAA